TGAATATACTATATATGAAACATTAGAGCCTAACTTATCCTTGAAAGTGGTACGAGTGAGTAATTAGAATGCCCAATGTCCGAATATTTTAATGAAGAAAATTAGAAAAATATGCCCACTTAATTCACTTATTTAGTTTTGTTATTCTCTCAAAATTTTACCCTCTTATATATGTTAATACTTAAAAAAGAGAACAAAGGGGGATTCCATGATATTTTGCACGATATCTGAGAAGCCTGATGGTGGAGTGTAACGTTACGAAGAAAGTCTCAGATGCCTTGCTAAATAGAATGTCGAAATGTCTTTTTTTTTTTTTTTTTGGTGGGTGTAAAATTTGTTATGACGGAAGAAAAACAACAAGATAAATATTATGTATCGTTTATTTCACTGATTTGAGTTTTTGATTACAATTTTATTACAGTTAAAAACTCTCACATCTAACTTATTTGCTACAGTTAAAAACTTTCACATAAAAATAATATCTTAACTCGAATTAAAAACTTAAATCGGCAAACGGAACAAGCGTTGACCACCGTTCTAAAGATGTTAGACTAACAATAGTTGTACATTCTAATAGAGTTCTCACTCACACACATTTATTTGCTTCAAAGTATACGTGAATTACAGATGTAAATGTGGGAAGCCACGATGTGAAAGGCGAGATCTTAGAGAAGCTTCTTAGTTAATGGAAGCACCTCATAATAGGAATGTTATTCTTGAAAATTATTATTATTATTTCAAACATCGATAAAGTTTGATGGCATGATTAGTTTGTTTCTCTTGATGACTTTGAATATTCATTATAGGAAATGAAAGACAATTATAATCAAGGAGGGTTTTGGGGCTTAGAAAGAGAGACAAAAAAAAAAAAAAAAATTATTATTGTGGGAGTCCTTTTTTTTTTTTAATCTCTTACTTTAGAATTAGTGCCACTTCCATTTTGAATTTGTCATGATAACCAACTTTTGCGACACTCCCACGAACACTAATAAGACCATCATGGTCATAAGGGAAAAACAAATAGCAAGATATACCCAACGTCTCATCCTTTCAACTTCAATTCAATTCTTATTTATTAATTGAGATCCAAGGCCATAGTTTGACAAAATATATATATTTCTTTGTATAAAACCCCTTTAGTTTAAATTATATTTTAACAAGTAGGCACTCTAGATAATGTTGATTATTCTCTTCCTAATGATTATCTAAGAGAGTATTATCAATCATGTGATCTCTTTGTACTGATTTTTTTAAAAATTTTTTTAAATTTTTATTTTTTATAGTGCGAGTGTCATTGATTTTACAAAGTGAAATATTTGATAATCATTTTCATTCAACGCAGATACGCATAAATATATATCAAGTGGGAGCATAAGCATGCGTACCAATGAGCTAAAAGAAAAGACAATTTTTTTTTAAGAGTAAATAAAAGATAATGTTATTATTGTAAATTATTGCAGTTAAATTGGGTAATTGGAACGTGTGCTTCTTTAAACTTTACTCGATTGGCACTAAGTACTAAAAAAATCTTGATCATGAAAGTTTTAACTTTGATTTGGGTATAATTCAAAGACAACCACAAGTTTCCTCTTCGTTATTCACAAAATTAACAAAACTTCCACATATATATATATATATATATATACACATACACACACATATGTACGTGTACTTTTGTTTGATAAAAAAATAAAACAATAATACCCGCAGTGAATATATTACTGTATATGTACATTTTCTTTTTCTGAAGATATTGTGTGTAGTTTTTATGCTTATATGTTCTGTTACTTTCCATAAAAGAAAAAACTAATATATTACCAATCATTTATTTTTTGGGAAAAATATGGACTTTTGGGCTTTTATAAAAAAAAAAAAAAAGCTTCAAAAAAAAAATTAATTGGTTGTTAGCTGAAAGCTTGAAACAATATCAACAATATAAGGCTAGCTTTCTTCAAACACAAGTATCATGTATTTATAAGTATACTATAGCGATAATTGTATACCTGACTCCACTGTAAGATATAAATTAGTTTGAATCTCCGCACTCTTAAATTCAAAAAAAAAAAAAAAACTGAATATTTAATCATTTAATGAGCTAAATTACACGAAATAAAACTTAAGTGTCGAATTGATTTATAAAAATTCATGGGAAAAAATGGCTAAGAATTATCCCTACACAAATATACACATCAAGAACAAGTACTGCTTTCTTTTTCAGCATTAGGTTGTCAAAACAACAAAAAACTCAACAAGAGAGAGGGAAGAAGATTGATGGTGCTCCACTAAGGAAGAATGGGGTCCGATTTAGATATAGATTGTAAGTGAATAAGTTCATCAAATTAGTTCGCAGCTATATATATATTTATAAAGAGCATACATAATGTTGAGCCGTGTGTGGTTGGTTATATAGTAAAAAAAAAAAAGTTATAAAATAAAAACAGCTGCACAAGAAAATAATAAAAACAAAGATAATATTTATTTAAAAAAGAAGAATATTCTACAATGAGTAGTCCCCATTAGATTTGGAGCCACCATTTATTTCCGAATCATCTTCAGATTCTAATTATAACCCTATTGAAAACCAACAGTCACTGAGATGATCATATATTGTCCGTATATATATATATATGTATAGTTTCCTTTTTACGCCAATAAATGGAAAGGAAGAAAAATTATTCTAGATTTATTCTCTTGCTCTTTATTCCTAAAGCTGATTTCTCCACCAAAAGCTGAATTGTTTTAATTACCATTGATACCGAAAGGAAAGAAAGAAAAGAAAAGGAGTGAAGGGGCAAAAGACTGCTATCATAAACTCGATAATGGCAATCTTTTTCATTGTTTCACTTTTTCATCTCAAATTAAATTTTTATACACTGAATAAAGTATATTGTTTAAGGTTCTGCAAAATGCCGAACTTTTCATTTACACAATGCCGTTTTCTGATTCTCAGTGATGTTAAGCATTTCCGTGTGGTCAATATCAGAAGATTAATCTCAAACACTTAGTTAAAGAAGATTAAGTATCGCAGTAGTTTCATGTAATAATAATCGCGGAAAAACATACAAGTGTACTTTTTTCTCTGAATTTATAAAGACATATACAGTTTCTTCTGATTTTGTCTTTAATTACTCAAAGAGCAAACATAGAAGATAGTTATTAATTACTTCATTCTTTTCTTGTTTAATACACATAATAATAGTTCTGATTATTAGTTAGTTATCTGCAGTTGTAGTGGCATTAAGGGCCACTAAATATCAAATTATATTCTCTTTATAAGGAATTTATATTCCTTTGGAAGGCTATGCTCTATGGCTTGTCCCTTCATAGCATGCATATATATATATATATATATTGTATAAATAATCATTTAGGTATCGAAACCAGTAATTAAGCCAAGCAAATTAAGCGGAATCGTCCTATATATATATATCCCTAAATTAGTTTGAGCTTTGATAATTTTAACTAAATTCAGTATTATATATTACTATTTTGTACTATTACAGACCTACTATATATATATATATATATGCGTGTGTGTGTGTGTGTGTGTGTGTGTGTGTATAGCATCTCCTAAGATGAGGAGTTGAACTTGTATATATGTATATATGATCCATGACATGTAGAAAATATATTTTACGTAGAAGCCGATTGATAACCGGCTCTTTTGCTGGCGGTGCTGCCATATGTACAAAAGGATGGACTATTTCATGACTCTTTCTAGTGGCCCCCATATATAAGGATATTGTCCTTATTGTTCTAATTATTAAGACCAAAACTAGAAGCTAATCAGCATTTCACCTTTGACCTAACTCTTGCTTTTGAACACAATTATATATATATATATATATATAAGCAATACGTTATAATATGTTACGCATTTCGTTTACTAATCAATCACATATTCACACTAAAAAAAATAAATAAATAACTTCCCACAAAAATTTTACATCAGAATTTCTAACTGCTAGAAATTTAGATATTTTCATTGATGCCATATAAACCTAGGACGTTTCACCAAACGACTAAGCAACCCAATAAACAAAGTAAGTATAAAAATATACCAAACGAGCAAAATTCTCATGAAGCACATAAATAAAACACATCTTGAAATCATTTTCAAAAACATATTAATTTCCTTCTCCTATCAAGCTCCAATCCAACTAATTAAGCAAACAAATTAATGATTTCCTTTTTTTTTTTGTATAATGTTTTGCTTGGTTAATATAATATTATATTAATTAATCAAACAAAGATTTAGGTATCGTTCAGTTTGCGGATTTGAGTTTTCAATTTAAGTTAAGATGTGATTTTATGTGAAAATTTTTCACTGTAATAAAAAAAATTAGATATAATTTTTTATGAAAACTTTTAACTGTAATAATACTAAAATTAAAAACTCAAATTAATAAAATAAACAACACCTTATAAAGCTCCACGCTCCTACCCTATAATACATACATACGTACATATATATATATAATAATATATAATATATATGTATATTTATATATATATATATATATAATACTCAACCAGTTGCCTGAAAGTCGTCCTTCTAACATCATTACGTGTGTCCTTCCTCGGGAGAGAGGTCAAAGAAAAATCTATGCAACTGCTGGTAAAGCAATTGATCCGTACTTTTTCTCAACACCATAAATACCCAACCATCTCAGTGCTTAAGCTAATCAGGTGCTTAACAAAAAAAAACCTGCCTGATGTCACCCACCATTAATTAGCTCCCCCCCGCCCCAAAAAAAACCCTTCAAAAACAAAATCCCAATTCCTTCCCCAGCAACAAAAAAAAAAAAAAAAAAAAATCTAGCTGTTCATATCATAAAATTCCTCTCTTTTCTGTGTACATGTATATATAAGAAGGATAAAGTTTTCTATAACTTTTGTGGTGCTCAGACTAGGAAGCCAACAGTACTAGTACCATATAGCTCTCGCTTTGCATATACCTAAACACACACCAAAAAAAAAAAAAAAAAAAAAAAAAAAACCCACAAAACTTGCAATTTTTCCCACTACCTTAAACTTCATATATTCTGTAAATAATAACCATTCTTCTCAGTTGATTTATTTTTCCCTTCAAGTCGCCGCGTTTTACTTATTTTTCCGAAAAGGTAATATATAGTGGTCCATTAAATTTAAGTAGTGGGGTAATTTTGAATTTCTTTTATACGTAGGGTATGTTTTTAGTAAATCTATATATGTAGATATATATTTCATTGTAGCATATATAAATCAACTTCTTCTTTGCTTGTTATTAGGTACAATATATCTCTTGTAGAGCCATGAGAATTCCGATGATGTCCGTAGCGTGCAAACAAGTCCAACCGTTAGTGAGCTTCCAAGGGGGTGGATTCCAAGCGGAGCTCAACATGGAGGCCTTCTTCCGCCGGAAAGACAAGGTGGTTTTCGTGATCGGGCCGACGGGCACCGGCAAATCCCGCCTCGCCATCGACCTCGCCACGCGGTTCCCGTCCGAGATCATCAATTCCGACAAAATGCAAGTCTATAAGGGCCTCGAAATCGCCACCAACAAGGTCACCGACGAAGAGTGCCGCGGCGTCCCCCACCACCTCCTCGGCATCGCCGAACCCCATTCCAATTTCTCCGCCGCAGATTTCTGCCTCCACGCCTCCTCCGCCATCAAGTCCATCCTTGACCGCGGCAAGCTCCCGATAATCGCGGGGGGTTCCAATTCCTACATCGACGCCCTCCTGAACGACCACGACCATGACCACGACCACGACCAACGCTCGCAGTTCCGCCGACAGTACGAGTGTTGCTTTCTTTGGGTGGATGTTTCATTACCAGTCCTCAACGCCTTCGTGTCGGAGCGGGTCGACCGGATGGTGGCTGCCGGTCTCATCGACGAGGTGAGGAGAATGTTTGATCCGGCGGCCGATTACTCGCGGGGGATCCGCCGAGCGATCGGCGTACCCGAATTAGACGAATTATTCGGCGCGGAGGCCAGAGGAGCGAGTAAGAAGACCAGAGATAGGCTTCTCCAATTGGCAATTGAGAAGATCAAGGTGAATACTTGCTTATTAGCCCGCCGGCAATTGCAAAAGATTCACCGCCTCCATCCGCAATGGTGCTGGAACGTCCACCGCCTCGACGCCACGGAGGCGTTCCTAAAGCGCCACCGCCACCAAGACGCCGACGAAGCTTGGGAGAAGCTCGTTGCCGAGCCGGCGAACATGATCGTCGGCGAATTCCACTACGGAGAAGAAATCGCCGCCATGGTACCGTCCACCACAACCGCTGGTGCCTGTGCCGGTCCGGTTCTGTCATCACCGGTGTCGATCGCCGCCGTGGCAGGTGCCACGCGCTAGAGAGAGACAGTGGGGTTTGCGAAAGGAGGGACCGGGATTGGCCCCACAGAATCTAGTGCCGCCAACGGCCATTGACGTCCGCCGGATTTTGCCACGTGGAAACCGGCCATAGGCTCCTTATTATATATAAGCATATATTAAAAAATGGAAAATAATTTTTACCTCTTTTTTTTTCTGTTTTCGGGAAATCGAAAAAAAGGGGGAAGAAAATTACGGCGTGGACTGACAGAGAGGTTGCTATCAGGTCGTTAAGTACTTACATTTGGCGGCCGTACAGTTAGGAGCATTTTAGAAATCCGTGCTGGCTGGGCCTTTCCAAAAAAAAAAAAAAACCGTTTGCACGCTTGGGACTTTTTGGTCTTTTCAATATTTTGTCTTTTTCTTTTTTTATTTTTTTTTTGGGTTTAAATTTCCGTACCAAGTGTGGTGCGCCTGCATCAATCATGACACATTTGAGGGGTATCGGCCTATCCGTCCTTTTTTCTGTGGGGTCCAGGGGTGACTTGTGAGTGGTGACGTGGCAGTATAGTCTAATAAAAAGCTTTGTAGGACCCACGCCTTTTTTGGTTAGTGTGTGTGTGTGTGTGTGTGTATGTATGTGGAGGTGGAGCACTTATGTGGCGTTTTTTGGTCTCTCTAATTGTCTATTGTCCTTGAGACATGACATGTATTATCGTCACTATAGTATAGTGAGAGCTACTTGCTATGTATGTATGATAAGTAGAATTGTATCCTATCTTCAATTACATATAATATGATATGAAAATTTTCTTCACTTTTCCTAGCTTCAAATCTCATCATTCAAAAATTTTTTAACAGTTGAGTAGGAAAATACTGCTATTAAAATATCATATATTAATTGGATTCGATTACAAAATGCGTAATATAGATTAAAATTTTTTTTACTGAGGTGTTTGGAATCGAACATTGAAGGTAATTACGGGCAATGACTCAGCCTCCGCGTCTCAAGAGTAGGAGTTACTTACCTTTTATACCATGTTTCATAAATTTCTTCTGAGCATGCATGATCAATCACCATCTTAGGTTAAAAGGTGAAAGAATCTACTAACTAGGGGAAAAGGAAAGAAACCCTTTGGATTTGATAGGGGGTGAATATGCTTCTGATTAACAAAGATGTGAGAATTGACGGTTGCGATTAAGCATTCAGAACATATGGTTATTCTTAATGTGTGTATTTGCGCGAGCAAAATGAATATGAGAATCTAAAAAAAAAGGACAAAAAAGGAAAGCAGTTGCAATTTGGGTGGGGTCAATCCGTGTATTCCTTTCATGCCCATATGACTCCAATTATAATATTTATTTATCATTTGGGTGGGCTTTATACCCACTCACCACTCCAATTTGTTGAAAAATCATGTGGACCAACATTGCAGAAATAAATAAATAAAGAAATAAAACATCTTTTTGTTCTCTAGTTTCAACATAAGTTGTCAAAATCATCTTTACCAAAAGAGATTTTGAGCTTCATCTAATTGTTGCATTCCGTATATACATACACACACACACACACATACACATATAAAGAATGTGTCTCTATCACGTATAGTACAATCCAATATCAAAGTCTATTTCATGTATGTTGTGGTGAGTATTATGCCAAAATCATGTGAATCTTTACAAACATATATATATATATATATTGTTGATGTTCATATATTTGTATCATAATTTTATCATTAACTAAAAAGGGTACTCTAAACTGAGAAGAAAGCCTGCAGGCACAAGCCTGTGCAAACCTAGCAATTTTCTATTCAACATGGAAAATGGCTTTGAGGGACGAAAAAAATTGTTATTTAGAAAATATTTGGAGCCAAAAACTACAAAGCTCAGAGTTATGGACAACTGCTGCAAACAAACACAAAACAGTCAAAAAGAAAAAAGAAAGAAAAACAAAGACACGTGTGTATAAGTAAGTGAGACAAAAAACTAGTCAATAGGGAAAATGAAAGATTGGAAGTGTGCAATTATTTCTCTCCTTGGAGCTACAAGGAAAAAAAAAAACTTCTTTAGTAGGACAAAAAAATTAAACTTCTAACTGTTATTTATTTTCAGCCGTTAGATCTGTATTAAAAATAATTATTTTGTATACTTTTTTATTTTAATTTTATTTTAATTTAGGGCCCGTTTAGTTCGCTGATTCGAGTTTTTAATTCGAGTTGAGATGTGATTTTATGTGAGAGCTTTTTACTGTAGCAAAAAAGTTAAATGTGATTGTTTGTGAGAGCTTTTTACTATAACAAAACTCGAATTCTAAACTCAAATTAGCGAAATGAACTGGACCTTAATCTATAATACTTAAAAACTAATACTAATAAGTCAGACCTATCAGAGAAATTCTTTAAAAAAAAGTTAAAGAAGTTGAATAAGATGGAGAATCGAAGATGATTTTGTGGCAAAGAATCTTAATTCGTCGTTTAGTTAGGGTACAAATAATTAAAAGGACAGTCAAATCTACGGGAAGTAATAATTATGGCACAAGCTATATTGGAGAGGTTTATCAATATGATCTCTTTCAAGTAATACTGTCAAAATGGTGGGATCTAAAAACCACACCGACATTGTAGTACCTACATGACAAATCTTCATCAATTGTGTATCATGAAAGAAAATTCTCTAGACTTCTGTTTTGTTTTTTCTTTAATTTGTTCCATGAATCTTGTTTGTATTTAAGAATTTTAGCTAGTTGGAGCTAGCTTGCAATTGCAAAGCTGCAACGGCCATAAAGGTCAAAATCAGTGCATTGTTTTTCATCATTAGATTTTTCTTTCTTCTTTCTTTTTTTTTTTGAGATTTTTATAATAAACTATGAAAAAAAATTATCAATAATTTTTTATTTTTAACCACTAAATATGTATAAAAAGTTATCTTTTTTATATAATTTTAATCATATTCAACGATCAGAAGAAACAGACACATACTAATAAGTAATCTTACCGTAAGACACTATATATATGTATATATAAATGTAGATGCATAATGATAACATAATATATAATAGGGTATAGCATAGTTTGACTCATTGAAGAGCCCCATGATTTAGTGATGGTTAACTTATCTTATAACAGTGTTATACATATGTGTGTGTATATGCACTGGAAAAATATAAGACAACTGTAGTTCGTTGTATTCTTCTCCTTCTTCTCTATCTTTTAAAACATTTCCAACCATTTTTATATAGGAAGAGGTTGAGAAATCATGTCTACTTGATGAAGTGACAATACATGTATATATTTATATGTTATCTTTGTTTTTGTGAGAAGTATTCTGCACGAATCCTTAGACAGGAAGCAGATACCCCACCAACCTACTTCTGCAGAAATTGTGATAAGAGAATTTATTAATCTTGTGTTGGCATTAAATATCCTCCTTTTTTTTTTCCTTTCTTTCTAAAGAGCATAAATAAACAATTTTTTCCTATGGCAAGTAATTAATTCTTGGGATTAATCGCATATATTATACCTTAAATTACAAATTTAATTTATTTTAAAATCTATTACTCGTTTTTAGAAACTAGGAATTATTTGAATTTCACAAACCTTTTTAATTTCATCCCTTGCCTACTTTTTAGATGAAAAATAGACAAAAATAGAAAGATACTCTAAAATAATATTTTGGAAAAAAAAACATTTTGAATACTTAAAATAATTAAAAGGCCCTAAAATAAAAAAAATTATATATTCTTTTTTAAAAAATGAGTTTTTATTTTTGGAACTTTAACTTTTTTTAAAAAAAACCGTTTCGAATCTGATTCAGAAATTTATCTTGAAAAATATTTTTCAAAAATACTTTCGGTTTAATTAAGGATATCTTCATCCTTTCTCCTTGTTATTAGTTCACGAAATGCGCGAGCGATAAAAATGAATTAAGTTTTTAAATTTAAAGGACACTTTTTATAATTTAATTCTAGGAATAAAAGAATAAATTGTGAAAATAAAAAAGCCTAAAAAGTCTATTTATGTAATTTACCCTTACTTCTTACAACCGCATTTAACAAATAAAAATAAAAATGCTACAAAAATCATATGAAGTGATTGGATTTGCTAAAGTTAATTCTCCGGTCAATTATTTTGTATTTGATAGCAATGCTTCTAAGCAGATCACATGGCATGGAGTTTTTGACTGAAAGTAATAGAATGAGATGGTAGAACTACCAAATGTTATGAATGTAAGCCTCATTCAATAATTGAGATTTATATTGCACATACATTTTTTTTTTTTTTAAAACAATGGAATGTATTATAGCCTTACTCATAATAGATTGCAATATTACTCTCGAAAAATCCTGTCAATTATGCACCTCCAAACACACATGTTAAATCAAGCATTGATCTATATAGAAACAAATTGGAATAGTATATGTAAAAGGTGCCAAGAATGTCTTTGGTCAATTTTGAAAGTTGAATCTTATCATGCCCTCTTAAAAGCAAGTTCTTACAATGCATTAACGGATCAGAGTTTAGAATAACTGGCCGAAGTGATTAAGGGCCAGTTTAATTCGCTGACTCGAGTTTTTAATTCGAATTGAAATGTGACTTTATGTGAGAGCTTTTTACTGTAGTAAAAAGGTTAGATGTGACTGTTTCTGAGAGCTTTTTATTATAGCAAAACTAAAATCGGTGAAATGAATAAGGTCTAAAATTTTCTAGAGTTAAATCTCACATCAATCATTGTGTAATGATAGCTAGGCTTTTGTTTCTGAGTAGATGACGTGGCATGAAGTTTTCAACAGAAAATAATAGAAACGAGATTGAAACTACGGTGCATCTAAAAAATTTGAGAATATATATCATGTATGTAGTTTACATCTCAACCACTGAATGATAGAAAAAAGAGAAATGTTAGCGTCGTTATTTTTGTCATTTTCTATGTTTATTGTTTGACATGTGTACTCCACTAATTTAATATATAATTACTTAGATAGAAAAATGAGATAATGGAGTCCAAATATCAAATAATAAATGCAAAAAAGTGACAAAGAGAGTGATAAAAAAAGTGACGCTAGTATCCCTTCGAAAGAAACGATCTCAAACGAAAAA